TTATTATTATTATTATTATCATCACCATTATCATTATTATTACAATTTCTACTCCCCACGCCCATCGGAAGTTTTAAGGACTTGGAGACGAAGAACTTCGGGAGAGAACTGTAGCACATAATGAAAAGGTTTGTATGCTCTTTTCTCCCCAGTTCATTGAAGCCCCGCTTCAGTGACATGGGAAAATACTACGAACGATATTCGTAGAAGCCAACAGCACGGGCTTCGAAAAACCATATATCTTCTTCTTCTTCTTCTTCTTCTTCTTCTTCTTCTTCTTCTTCTTCTTCTTCTTCACACGCCTCCAACCTACAACAACAAGACCGTTAGATGCAATAAAAATGGGCACATTTTAGACTTCTTGAAAATGATAAAATATTTCAGTTTACTGGCAAGTGATTTTCTTTTTTCTGCAATTGTTGACCGAAAATTATTATCCAATGAGATCCCAATCATTACTGCTGTGAGGGCGGTTTCGTTGACTACAATATCGAAATTATTTGCTTCCATTGTTATTTCTGTGACTATAACGATATCTCATTATCGTTATTATTATTATTACTATTATAATATTAATTATTATAATAATTATTATATCTCTTTTCAGTCGATCTATAGCGATGCCGGGGTTTCTAAAATTTCCTAAGGCAAGTATGGTCTGCATACAAAAGAGAGTGGGAATATGGTCGTTTTTCTTTTTCCATCAATTCAGGCTTAATAATTTATGGACAATTAAAGCTCCAGCGACAAAAATGCTGGCGCACAAAACCACATTAAATGATTTTCTAAAAAGAGGTTCGGACACTGTAAACGAACAACAAATGAGTTCACATGAGATGTCGACTCAAAATGTTAACATTCCAATCTCTCTTCTGCCAAAGCGCCCAGAACTGAATCAAAAGTCGTTTTACTACAATGGACCGAAATGCCATTAAATGTAACAACTCAAACGTAATTGGAAAATCTCTGACGGAAAATTGAAAAGCATGAAATAAGTAAATTCTCAAAAGATAATGGCCTATTTCTTCAGTATTGTTCTTAAACTATTTGAATCAATCGCATAGCATGCTGTTCTTGCCTTCAGTTATTTTCGGATATTAACTCTCAGTAAAATTGCCTTTGTGGAGTGTTTAGATATATTTTGATAAGTTGAAGTATACGATATACCCAAAATGAAGTTACTAGTCATAGAAAGCTTCTGGGAGAGGATTAGGAATGTAGCATATTTCCAATACAATTATTTTATTTTTTGCTTTTTTATTCAACTTGATCTGCGAATAATACTTCAGTTACTTCAATTTCATGTTTCTTGATAACCATATTCGAAAACATCGGTGTTTTTAAAGCTTTTGATTCTTCCACTTTGTTGAAATGTTGCTCTCCGACACCTTGCAATAAATATAAGAAAGCCCTTCTACATAATAGTCCAAGGGACGTTTTGAACCATTTATAAGACGACATGGTCACAAATTAGACGGAGTTTCTTAGATTGTATTACACAAATTAATATACTTTTGTACCCTCCATTACATTTTCTGGAGGTTTTGCTCGTACGTATGTACTCCATGGTAATAGTTACTAGATACATACAAAATCTCGAACTATACGTAAAATTCATGTAAAGGAGCAGCAGCCAAATAGGGAATTACCAGGGTTACAAAAAATATTTAAGGCGACAATTGTAGAATTTTGCTAATTATACTTATGAGAATTCAACCAGTGACCGTGTAACAAGCAATGTTTTGCTGCAACGTTGCAATATTACGCTGCAACATACATGACTCGTATAACTCGAAAACGGTGCATCCGAGGCACTTAAATCCCGTTTTTTGAATCCCACCCAAGTCAGGTTCTCTAAATTATAATATACAAGATGATACCTTTTTGGACCTTCTATTACATTGTTGGGGGTGTACGTATTCAGGGTATCTATGCTTCATAGCATGGGTGGCAGAAACGTGCAAAATATTGAAATATATGTGAAATTAAATTTACTATTATGTACAATTTAATCGTACAAATTTAACAATATACCTTTCTGTTTGTTAATAAACGTGCGGCAATAATAGAATATTTACCTATGCATGATGGAATTGTAACGCCCAATTCAGTCTGGCTGCTCGCAGTTGGGTTCCACTATGAGGCTAGTTTCACTTAAAAATGATTTGGGAAGGGTGTAATGTGTACAGGGGTCCAAGTAATAAACTATATTACAAACTTACAACTATTTTCCATTGCGAATGCTGTGGAAAAATGCGAGAAAAACTCAGAATATTATGCTGACTCAATTTTGAGGAACACAATTGCAGAACTAATTTTGCAAAAACATAACGCTCTTAGTTATTCACAATTTTAGATTTAGCAAGGACACTGACCTCATATTATTAGATCCCACTTCTATTACACAAAAACACCCCGAAAATACCCGGACAGCGGGTGAGATAATAAATAACTAGCAAGCAATCTGCGTAAGTATTCCGCAGAGCATCTGACAATTAGGCATTCGACCTCTGGCTCTGTCCTTGCGGAACGCGAGGGGGGCCGCGGTTCCAGCAGCTGCACCGCCCAACGCGGGTTGCAGCCAGCGCGCGCTCGGCCTGTAAATCCTCCATATTCTTGTCCCATCCCTCACGACCCGTGACGTTTGCGCTGTCTTGCTTCCCCTCTAGTGACGTCATTAATTTATGAATGACGCCCAGCCGTCGCGCTCACTTGCCTGCCTCGCGCGCCCTCTGCCGCCCCCGCCGCCCTTCGCCGGCGCACACAATGGGTCGAAATAAAAAAAAGATGCGATAAAATTTATTTAAACTGCAATTGGTATATCCTGACAGCTTATTTCATAAATAAGATAATATAACTAAATAAAATATAACTAACACGCAAATTATACAATAATAATAGTAATTATAATTATAATTATAATAATGGTACAATAATAATCATAGTAACAATAATGTTGCCAAACTCTCATTAAGGGTATTTAAAATTATTATTTGCATTTCTGCCTGCATATTTAACAACTTTATCTGATTGTATTTGGTTTCTTATGTTATAAAAGAAAATTGTTCTGAATAACTGTTTTACATAAAAATACAACATGATTGCAATATACTAAAATATGTAATACATAATAGCAAACATTTCGGAAATGATTATTTCTATCTTCAGGCTCGAGTTAAAATGTCAAAACAAATAAATATAATATTTTAAACGATGGTCAGATTTAAACTGACAAATTACATAATACCAATGTACACAAGTCAATATTCGGAAAACACCTTGAATTACAATTTATACCAACGACATGCCGCCATATGATACCACACTGGGATATTCAAAATTGCATTGTGTATAATAACGTGTACATGGGTGGGAATCACAAAAGTTGAGTCATATTGAATGATTATTTTTAAATTGTACTATTAATTAATTTTTCTGTGAAATAATAGATTTTTGAAATTATTTTTTTACATTACATTAATAAGTTGTTACTTAGCAACGATGAATGCCTTCTAGTCTGACTTGACATTATAATAAAATCAAATCAAATGAAAAAAATATTTTTTTATTTGATTAGCCTAGTATTTTAAGATCTGTTTTGTAACATCTTCTTCCAAGGGTATTTTTTATTTGTTATAACTTTTTTTAATAATTCAGTTCTTGATGGCTGGCTAACAACCTTGAAATACTCGCTGGGTTGTTCGTATTCACAGGACTGATCGTGAGGTTTTCCATATTAATTCGGGGCCCGGAGATGTCTTCTGAAAGCCAGAGACTCCGGTCCAAACGCGAAGAGGAGGATACCCCACTAGAAACTAAGCTGCTCATAAGCAGAAACGTCTCCGATTATTGGAAATCGAGATATTTAAGACAACATTTGAATGCGAAATTGTTATAGGTATGTCGTTTTGTGCAATGCTTTGTGCTATGAGGTATACTGTAAATTATGTAGAAAATGTAAGACGGTCGATGGAGAAAACACTTTTTATAAGGGGTCGATGCTAGTAAATGGTTGGAAATCTCTCCTATAGATTATGCAACATCCCATTGAGAGCTGGATGCTAATTGACTTGCATATAATGAATCCACTCCTACATTTTTATTATTTTTATTAATGGATGATTATTTTAACATTCATTCTCATGGCGAGATTTGATGGAACGTCACTTATAACGTTTCCTCCCTTCGCAAAGAACGAAGGACATTCATTTGTGATATTGTTTAATGTTGATCAGTTTCAGTCTTATTTGGCAGGCTTATTTTTTATTATCAAATAAATGTAATATTTATTCTATATTTAAAAAATATAATTTTTATCATTATTTCAGTTTTCCCAAAACAATATTTCTACCCTTTCCCACGTAGAATGGAATGCTTCATCGCTTAAAACATTAATTACTTTACTCTTCGGGCACACAGTGTTACACAGTTGAGGTAGTGGGATACACCTCGGGATATGTTTTGTTTTTGTTGCGCGTATTTTGACCCATTTCGAATCAGTTTGCGCCGCCTTCGTCGATGCGGGCGCCTTTACCGCCCTCACGTCTTCCGGCGCCCCCGCCCCCGCCCCCANNNCGCCCCCACCGCCCTCGCCCTCGCCCTCGCCTCCGCCCCCGCTTCCGCTGCCGCCGCCGCCGCCGCCGCCGCCGCCGCCACCCGCGTTCAGTCGCCGTCAGTCGGCCCCACGCTTCGGCCGCGGCACGCAGCCGCTTGTGCTGTTGCGCTGCGGTGGTTCAGAGGAGGCCGCAACCACGGAGCCACGCCTGTCACCTTGCTGCTTTGAGGGCTGCGCGTGTTTATTGTTCGAATGTTGCGAGTTTTCGCAGGGTCATATCGTGAAAGTCTTAGATAAACATTTTCCCATTAACCATACAAATTTTTTAAAACTTACAAAATGACCTGGTAGAACTATTGAAATAATCAGTTTTCGCCCATCAGAGAGAAAAATGTGCACTAAATTCACCACATGATTAGTATTTTAAAAAAATGTTTACAAGTTAATGACAGCAGTTGTCAAACAAAATCGTAAAACTTATGAATATATTAGGAACAAACGGTAAGTAACACTTAAAATCACTTAACGTAATTTTGCGATCTATTAGCACTATTCAGTAATGAAAAATCGCGTCACAAGTTTTCCAGGTATTAAACCAATATTTTGCTGCAAGTTCATGAGGATTTATGCGGACACCATTTTGTCACTAATCGTCCCAAGTAGAAGGGTTATTGCTTTGACTGCGCTTACTTGCAATTGTGCATTGTCGCAGCTGAGACGAAACGTGATCACATGAGACCGAGAGGGTCATGAAAGAGAGTAATATTGATTTTTCTCCCCCCCCTTCCCTCTTTCTCACCGTCATGTTACCCCTTCTCCATCGTCCAACCCCTCTCTCTTCGCTAACTCGCTGCAAAATGCAAGCAGCCACTTCTGCAGGAGCGAAGAGGGACCTAAAGGATGGTAGGGATGCGGGGGGAGGTTGGGTTTTGAAAGCCTCCGACGCAAACCTTCTCCAACTCGCCCTCACTGCGCAGGCGCGCTCGGCACAGACGATTCTTCAAAGTTCTTTTATTTTATCTCCAAAAACATGTTCAATGGCGTAAATTAAAATGTCAAAACTAATATTGGTCAATTTCATGCTTATTATTCACTAATTAAAAGTTTGAAAGAACCAAAATGTTTGGGGTCGAGGCTCTTCCACGCCTAGAATTATTATTGAACCACCGGCAGCCATGTTTTCCAGGGCGCTGCTTCCGAGGATCTCCGCAAGATGGCAGGAGGGTTACAAACGTGAGCGCCCCATCGGGCAGTCTGGCAGCCGTCCGTACTCTCTAGTGTCGCGGTCTGCAGGGATGGTGCGGATGTATTTATACAGAATATTGCCCAGTGGCAGTGCGAGACAAAAATAAGATGGGAAAGACACATGCGAGGAGTTGTATGAGACGTTGAAAACTGTCTTGTGCGAGTTGTTCGTGTGCGTTTTCGATATCGCGTGACGGAAACGGGAATGCACGGTCATCTGCGTGTGGTTGGACTGTCATCTGTGTTTGGCTGATCGTCAGTTGTTTCGCGTTTACCAATTCCTATGGATGCATCGTTGTCTGCACCAAGAGGAACTCGATTGCAGATGTGCCATTTCCTTAAAGCACGTTTAATAAATTATATTTTTGATCTCTCGAAATATGTGCCACGTTAAGTAGTATTCCAGAGTATTTTTTAAAAGTGAGGTGAAAATAATAGTGTTATTTCTAATAAATTTTGGTATACGTCAGTGTAGTTACACCACTGAGCACTGGGTTCGCATTGCAACTCGCCCACCATCTTGTAATGGCATTGTGCAGATTTCTCGTGAATTGTACGCGGTTTTTCGTAAAGTGAGGTGTTAAATAACACATCAATTGGTGACTGATATTGTATAAGTGTGCGGTTTACGTGCTGCGATGCCTGGTTTGGAAGAGTGATACTACAGTAAACGCCGTGCGTATTTTTACCTGCATGTGCTTGGATTATTGTGATTCGTTTGACAGCGGGAAGTTTTTGCAAGAATATACTCTAGCGAACAGCTTACGTTGCTTGCTTATTATGAATAATCTGCGTACCAACGAAACACGTTTTGTGGATGTGTGCCGCATTGTTCCAGTTAAAACACGACATAGTTTTGCACACAACGCAAGCTAAGTTAAACATGAGTACATCATTTCTTATGCAAATTGCGTGGCCCAGTTCAACGGCAGACTGCTTATATCCTGGAATAACTATTTAATATTTGCATAGTATGCATTTCTTTAGAAAAGCTTGCGCAAATGGACTGTGTTTATCTACAACTTCAAGGATGTACGGGTGTGCTATGTGACACTTATTAATATATCCAGAAAGTAGTGGAAAAAATCGAGATTTAATTTTGTAACAGTAAACACTGTAGTCGTATCTGTGCCCTGTACAGAAGAGTCGTAAGAGTTTCTCGTAAGCGAAGAGTACCACGTCTTTCTGTCGTGCCGCGGGTATCTCGGCCGCCGGTTTGTGGAGCGGACGAAGTGCACGCGCCAGCGACCTGCAGACTGCTGCGTCCGGGAGTGCGTCGAGGTCTCAGCGTGGCGTGGCGTGGTGCGGTGCGGATCCGCTCCGCCTGACCCATATTGGACCACGCGTAGTCGCCGCCGCGCGCCGGACTTCCGTGCTTTCGGATCGTTCGTAAAAGCGAGCAGTGAAAGTGTGCGTGTGAGTTTCAGTGCGACTTTTCCCCCATTTGGATACGTCTCGACACCGCCAGCGAGCGACTCCCAAACTGCGATCGCTTGTACACCAGGTAAGAGGGAAGCCATTCGATCCTTGAGTTTGTGGTTGTGCGCGCCTCGCTCGTGTCATTCGAGGTTTTGTCGTGAGGATGTCGTGCGAGCGCAGCGAAAAGTTCGTTTTCGCGTTCGACGTGACTTTCTGCTCTCGATAACCACACCCTGTGGACATAGGCACGCCCCTTGATCGTCAGCTGTTGCGAGTTTAGGTGGTTTGACTCCATGTTGTTACGGTTCGATAGCCTGGGACAACTATGTGTTTAGGAAATGCACAACCCACGCACTTTCATTTTGAGATTCATGTGCCCTGTTGCCAAACAAGCCTACTTTTACTCCCACGTGTTCACCTTTCAAAGGGTATTGGAAAATATAATATTTTATTCTAATGCAGTTGATAAATTGTGAATGTGATGGTTCAGATTTATATAGGTCACTAAATTTTCAATTTTGAAATGGACAATGAATTTCGTAATATTTGTTTGGAGATCAATCCAGGTTCGGCCTTGAATACTCGTGTAGTTCTCCGTCCAACGATTAAAGGAATTTACAAACCACTTTGAAGGCCGTAGAAGAAAAAAAACAACTAAATATTGTCAATACATTTGCATGAAAACTATTGACAACTTCAATTTGAACCTAGTACTAAAATGTTCCATGATTCGAAAAACACAATAGAAAACTTTTGCAATTCTAAGGTTGGGAAGAGATGAATAGCTGTATTTATAGTATTAATCTTGAGTAGTGATGTCCTGTGGGCACCACAATCTGGTAGTCCTGAAAACTAGGGAATAGGCACTCTCTATCTTTAAATAGCGAATGAGCCGATGAGAACAAAGGAAACTGCAGTTTCTGGAGTTGTGTAGGAATTTGATACGTAAATAGTTTATGAAGATTTTTTAAATTTTACAACGGCAATGAGATACTCTATTCCTGTACATAGGACAGTCGGAAATACAAAATTGGGTTGTTCCTTTTGAACGTTATATTAAATTATTTTCTTAAATTTGCGATTATTCTGAAGGATTGTTTTTCTTTGTGTCAGTGAAATATAATTTTACTCATTAATTTGGGAAGTATCTTACTCGTTGCTAATGGCCATGGTGAGACGGCCTTGTAAGGTTTGCACAAGGCCACTTGTTGAAAAATCGTCAGGGTTTATTTTATAATCTGCAGGTAGTAGAGAAAACAATTTCTTGTAGCGAAAAATAAATTTTCAAAAAAAACATGTATTTAACTACTCCACAGTTTTTGATATCAATTTTTATAGATTGGATTTGAATCAATGTTCATTAATATGGACAGGATATTAATAACAGACAGTTCATAAAATATGATTTGTTTCGTAGCCAATTTGAAATGAATTATTCTTTTTCCTCCATTGTTAAATAATGATTTGAGCGAAATTTAATGAATAACTCAATTTAAATTCCGTCAAGCCTTTTTATTGGGTTGAGATATTTTTACCCGTTATCCTTGATAAATTGTGTAGACCTGTGATGATCCATAACTAGGTACTAATAGGATTCCACTTCTATCTATCTTCAGAAAAATTGAACTGAACTGAAATGAAATGCCATGTCTCGATCAAACTTCTGACGAGTGTATTAAACGATTTATATAAAAGAAAAATGTATTGCGAATGTATGATACAGTGGAATCTAAATTTCAACCGATGAGGATTCCAATATTTGAAAGATTAAACTACCTTTTATAAAAAAATATAAACATGTTTGAATTGTTTATAAATTTCTGCTTGAATAATTCTTGGGCAGACATTCTTGTATTTATAACCCCGTGTATTACTTTTTTCACAGATTAAATCACCTTAAACAAAATTCTAACCATAACCATTTCCTTTGTGTAGAACACAAGAAACCATCTCCCACACTCTTCTTGAGTGTCCAAATATAGCGAGCGAAAAAAAATTATGGGAATCTGTTTAACTCCTCGTTTGAAGTCAATTGAGGAATGAGGAACGATTCTGAATTTTTTTCAATCTGCTAGATTTGATTCAAAATGGGTAGTTCATAAAGTGAAGATCTGTGATTGTTTAATTATACAAAATGACATTTTGTAAAAAATAATAAAACAATGGAAATTCTAGTTGTCGCTCATTCCCTGATTTACTTTTAGAGCGAATAAATAAAAGACAATTAAATTAAAACTTAGGAGCGATATAGAAATTATAAAATGGAAAATATAAAATAGTACCCCTTTTCTTAAATATTATAGGAAATGTTTCTGCCTGGTCATGCACAAAGTGATTGACCACATAGACCTACGAAAATGGACTAAATGTCATCTGATATTTCAAATGATATTTATGATTTCTGGTGTCCTGGATCAAAAAATGCATTTATTACCTTTTTCAAGATGAAGTGTTTTGCTATTGCGAAATAGTTGACATATGAACTTGTATATGGGAAATAAATGTATTATATGCCGTTTATCAAAAGAATACATTTGACTGTATTTTGGATCTGAAATAGTTTTTCTTAATGATAATGTATTATATTCGCACACAGACCTTACATTCTTTTTTCATGGTCTTTCTAATTTATGTTTGCTGATTTTTCGAAATTAACGTCTGACAGGTGTCCTACATTGAAGGCACATCACATTTTTCTTCTTAACATCGTTCAGTGTGTTCCTTACCTGCAAGAATCTCTCCCCATGCTTCTTACTGAAGACTTCCAAGTTTTTTGAAGTTTGTGACAGAAAAGTTTACAAATTTGGGTATTCAAAATCATTTTACAACCTTGAACAATCATTGAGTTTTTTCTATGGTTGGGATCTTCCTTGTCACATACAAACATTTGAGACCTGAATTAACGATTCCAAAGCTCCATGTTTGGCGCAGAATCAACAGAAAGTCCATTGATCGTTCGACGTTTTGAAGGGTCCCTAGACATCATTGCAGATACCGAGAGAGAGAAATAAGGATAGATTTTTCTGATGATATTTGTACCAAGAAAATGTCACTATCGTATTTGTAGATCTGGATCCCAACAACGTTAATGAAATATAATTGTCTTCGAAAGATAATTTCTTACAAAATCACAGAGCTCGTCATGTGAAAAAAAATTGACTCATTTTATGCCTTGAAATCCTAACATCCGAATTTGCGGTAAATGAACAGATCTGAGTCTTCTAGATCTGTTGTAAAATTCTCTAAACTAGAGGGTGTTTTTAGTATTGAAAGAACACTGCTATGACGAATAGGTGAAATATCATACACTTGGCGGAAATGCATTGTTTTTCTGCTTTGGTTCGTTTTATCATCTTATATCGATTGAACAATAGTAGCATTTGTTAGTATGAATTTGTTGCCCCACTCGCCAATAATCCTAAATAGAAACGACTCCCCTTTACATTTAAACTATAAACTATCTTTGCATCTACCTACTTTACGATTAACCTAGTCTTCGCCTTTATTCATGACCTCTCCAAAGTAGCAAAATATGCGTTGTTTATTCTCTAACATTTCTTCGAAGTCCTTTTCTAAAAGCTCAACTAATACAAACGTTTGTAAGTCTAGAGCCCATTGTTCAATGACTGTTATTCGCCTTTTTACTAGTGAACGATATGAGATTACTTAAATACTGTTCGTGAAGGACAAAACTGGAGGTCATTTTTGTTTTTAGTACATGGAAAAATATTAATAAAGTTAATCAGCAAATCGAACGGTCTTTTGAGAGCAGATTAGTGTCATTACAATTTTTCAGTTCATATGCTTTTTAAACCTTTTTTAAGATAAAATATTATTTAAAAAAGTATGTCGCGTGCATGTTTATGGAAGATATCAGATTTTTTACCTTTCATTTTTAAGCCAATTTGCTTGACAATGTTCCATGATAATTTGATAGTTAATTATTTCTTCATTTTCTTTTCGTTTACCTAACTACTTACTTTTTGCTCCAGAGTTAAACAGCAATGTTCAACACTTCATATTTCAACACCGTTATTCAAAATGTGCTTATAAATTACTAACGAATTTCTTCTCTCCGATCTTGACTTTTGGAGTCCATTTGATAAGGATTGCACTCAAACATTTTTTGTAATCGATTTGTCTTTTTTTCGAAAAGAATATAACGTTAGCTTTAAATTATTCAAATTGAAACTTATAAATAAACTTCAATATTATGAACATAAATTTAAATAAGAATTTCAAGGAAAACAAGGTTTTATCAGGAGTCAGAATTTCCGATTAACTGAAGCTATTGAATTATCATGTATTACATGCATACGAGGTCCTTCATTACCATGTAGGAAAAATGACAGTTTTCCAGTTTTGCAACTCTTTGCAGTAGTATCAAACTTACTTTTCATTACTACTGTCTTACGAGAAGAGCAATCATAATATCAATTCATGATAAGATAATCATCCTCCGTAGTATAGTCCAAACAAAGTTTGAAAGTAGGGATTTTTAATGACGTGTAATATACTTGAAATTTCTCAGGTAACGTGAAGAAATGACAAAGAAACGCATAAAATCAAAATAATATATAATTTGCTCAAAGAAAAATAAAGCGTTTTCTTTTCAATTATAATTAAAAAAGGAAATTAAGCGCGGATGACTGGTTTGTTTCATATCTTCTATATTGCACTCTCACAGTATGTTCTATTATTTTACATAGATTAAGAATGTTATTAATAATAAAAAAGAACGAAATATTAGTGATAAAGTTCGTGGACGTCCCCTATCTACATGAATACTTCAGAGATTATGAAAATCAGTCTAAGTTCTAGTGCGCTTGTAAGTTTCAGTGCTTGTAAGTGAACATCGCTTAAGTTGTCAATTATTTAAAAAAATCTC